GTTGTTTAGGTCCACATTATTCGATCTTGGAAAGACGAGCCATTTCCGAGACATTTCCGGGCCGTCCGAACCATATCCGAGCCACGCGAGCCGTTTCCATGCATATATATTAGTTACGCGGCAATATCGATTTGAGCATTCCAAGATGAGGAGAAAAAGATTTGGGAAGCGTGGGTCAAAGTTTCTAGTCAATCGGATAACCGGGTGAAAAGTTAGAGCAAATCGAGTGACAAGGGATCACCGGCACACGCGGCGGGCTCGCGGAAAGCATGGCAAGCTCGAGAGTGCCTCACATCAGTTGCTCGCGTGCTCGCGAACCTCCCGGCGAGCTCGAGAGTGTCATGCCCAAGCCTCATTCCTCACTCGCGTGCCCGCGACTCCGATGGCGAGCTCGAGAGTGTCTCCACCCATCCAAATCATCGCCGCGAGCTCGCGAATCTTATGGAGAGCTCGAGAGTGTTCTATTAAATGTGCGTGTTTTTAGTGTGTGTTTGTGGTGTAGCTATAAGTAGACATTATGCTTTTTATTTTTGGGAACAACCCTCATTTCCCAACTTTTAAGTTGGGAAAATCCTCTCTATTTCTCTTTTTTCTTTTTATGCTTAAGTTAGTGGTTCTATTACTCATATTTTCCGGCAAGTTTCTGGCGACATCATTTTATTTCAAGTTTCGAACTTTTCTATCCGGTGTTCTTCACGCATGCATTAGGAGAGTGGGTAATTAGCTTTAATCCTCATTACTTCGAATTTGCCCTCTTTTGCTTATGATGTGTTTCAAGGTGAATGTGGTTTTGCTTGTTGATTGGAGGAATGTTCGATTCTTGTAGCTCGTCGACGTGTGTTAGGGATTAGTTGGTGCTTATCTTGTTTAAAGATTGCGACTTTGTTTAAAAGTGTAGTCATTTAGTAGAAAGCTCGATTTAATGACCTAGGATCACTTGGCAATGTTGATGTCCCTCGGTTCTTTTTGTGTTGGTTCGAGTGATAGAGACCCCGATTGACCTAAAGCTCTCAACTTTGTTT